AGATATGCCAACCTTGCTTGAAATTAAAATACACCAGTATATTGCCAATCCTAATCTGATAAAGTAAAGGAGTGTGTATTTATAGGGAAAAAAATCAATCTTCTAATGGTATCCAGAAGATAAAACAGTAAAAGGAAGAAAAGTTCAAGTGACTTGAATGAAGGATGATTAAGATAGAGGAAATAAGCATGATTTATAAAAATGGGAACCAAAGAAATCTAAATGGATTTTGAAAAACTTTAATTGCATGTCACATTGAATCTAGTCTGGTAGCATAGGACAGCAACACTAAAATTCTTTTAACTTGATCACAGAAATCAATTACTTTATATCACCATGAAAGGGCAATTTAAATGAACTTGGTAAAGTAGACTCAGAAAGGCAAAAATGCCACTTACAGAAATAAATTCCCAAAGTAAAAATGTCAATTTGATTAAATATTAATGTAGTAAATGACGGGATGCTTGGGGCCCAGCCCTAAAATCATGTCTGTGGAAGCCTCCCAATTTATCAGTAGGCCCCTGTCCTGTGAGAAAATTTTCCCCTTGTTACAGAACACATGACCTTATCAGAAAAGACACGGGTATACTAGCCCAAGGATTTTTGTCCCTGGCTGGCCCAAGCTCTCTCCCTCATACCAGATCCCCAAAGTCCATGCCTTTGGCAACCAAACAAAAAAAAAAAATCTGTCTTTTCTCCCTTAATGTCTGGTATCAACAAAGTTATCTCTGCAGACTCCCTGCATTTTCCCATCCATAGATTATAGGCACCTGTTCCCAAAGACACCTGGACCCCTGATATATCCCTTGAAGTCCCTATTACCTAATTAGCATTCTTGGAAATTCTTTTTCTTGTTCCTTTTCCATATAAGCCCCAGCACCATCCTCACTATCTTGCAGGTTCCCTAAGAACCCTTGCTCACTTCTATTGGTGTCATAATGAACTTTTTGCCACTTGACTAAGAGAAGGCTTAAGAGCGTGAATTCATTCCAGGCAACTCTGCCTTGGCATTCTCAGGGTCCTAGCACCCCCAGACCTCTTCATAAATATGTGCATCCAGTTATATCAGTAATAATTTTTGTATCAGAAATAAAATGTGAAAAAAATCACATTTTACTCTAGCAATTTCTACTCTCCACAGTACAACTCTCTCATTGAGATTTAATTCAACTACAATTACAGTTTTTCATTAATGTGAATATTTTCCAACTAATTTCTCTTTATTTATATTTCAAATGTAAATGGGAAAAACAAATGGATAAAACATTTTATTGGATTTAGTCTGTTACTATTCTTTAAAATTTAAATGACTGTACTATCACCTGGTGATTTTTAAAAGGTCTTCCTAGGATATGGGAGGCATCATTTTATTTTGCCTTCTTAGTCCTTTTGATATAAAATCCTAAAAACCAATGCTTATTAAAAAAGTATATACATTTTCCCTGTTTTTTTTAATTCAATAGGAAGTATATGAGTGGCATTATTTGTGTCAGGAGTTCCATTAATGTGATAGAAATTGTACACAAGAAACAAGTTCTACAAAATAATATTAATTTAACCATATTTTCCAAAATGTTTGGGACCTTGCTTGAAATTTTTGATTTTCTTCTACATACCATAGAGAGTAGAGGGGACAACTGTGTAACATTTTGCCCTAGAAATGGGGGGATGGGAATTAGACCTGTGATTTCATTAATATATGAAATTCTCAGATGAGGAGATTCCCTCTCTCTACCAGAATAGGTTGACACCTTCTCTATCTTTGTATTGTCATAGAGAATTGTCTAGAGCATTGATAAATTCCTTGCATAGGGTCATACAGCCTGTATGTCAGAGTCTGGTTTTGAACCCAGGTATTCCAAGCTTCAAAGCTAGTTACCCATTTATTATCCTCTGCTGCTTCTCGTACCATACGAATATTGAATAAATTCTAGTAAGTATTGGTGGGTTTTACAACAAAGCAACCAAGGCACTTCCCATCTTTTTTTTTGCCCTCCAAGAAAAATTGTCTTTTAATACTTTATTTTGTTAGGGCTCTCCCTCCAAAATTGTGATGAATTCTTCTGTAGAGACTTCCTACATTGGAAAAAACAGCACCTAACTAACAATTGCAGCACTTTCCTGAGTACATCATTACCGCTACATTTCATAATCATCTGTTAACAAGTAGCACCATCTCTTATTTCCAGCAAATATTCAACATATTTTCAACCTAGAGCCATTTCTGCTAAGGGAAAATAGAGCACTAAAACTCTTTCAGCTCTCAATTTTCAAAATAAATGGCATTTCAGGAGATTAAAATGCATTATGACTAAGTAAGTGATTATGCACTATGATATAGCAACCAGTAAACAATATATCTTTCATCGTAAGATTAATTTGCTCATCCTAATGGTAGAAGAAAGTCTACTTGAGGTTGCCATTATATCATGGAGATGGAGCTGAAAGTGTTATTTGTGTAAGAGCTCTGTTGAATGTTGTACTGTGTAATATCTGTAGTCCTGATGTCAACATCTTTTTCATCCCCAAGAAGAAGAAACAGTAGAGGGTCAAATGGCTGAGGAAGCAAAAGCTGCTGCTCTTCCTGAAAAAGAATGGGGCAAAGAGTGTGGGCCTACTAAGTCCTCAGACCAACCAGAGGACCTTAGTGAGGTCCAAGTGGATTCTAGTTCGAAAGCCAAAATAGTTCCTGAAGAAAGTATTTCCATTGGGGAACCGCTTGAGAAAAGTATAAAAGTGGTCCAGGAAGTGTCTCTGGATATAAAAACACCTTTCTCTGCTGGGGAAGGTGTGTCTTCTTTAGGATTTGCATGTGTTTGCTTATGAATAGGCTTTTTTATAGCTTTACCAACTTGGCACTTTCCCAAAGCTGTTCCATCTCTTATTCTTCTCATTTTTATAGCGCTCCCGTTGTTATGCTTAAAGAACACATAGCTCGTATTTGCATTGGTGCGAGTGACCGCATGGTTTCCTGCTGTCGCACCAGATTCCTGATTTTACTTTGCTATGATACAATATGCTTTGCAGCTAAGCTGATAATGTCACCTGAGTGCTTTTCCCTTTCCCATCTCAGACGTTTGCCAGTCACATTGCTAATATGTGTACACTTTTATTTTATTTTATTTTATTAATTTTTGGTGCAGAGATTCATCTGCTTTTTTTTTCCAAAAACTAGATCTTTTGACTTGGACAGTGATACCAAAGGCTTAAACTGTAGACGTGTTTTTGTTTGCAATGCAGTGTGCTGTATTTTTATGCTTTGGTGCATTCTGATTTAGTTTTCCTTGAGCTACTGCTGATGCTTCTCATGTCATACCCTTTTCATTTATTGCAGCCCATCCCTTTGATCATTTCCAAATTTCTTGAGTTTTCATCCATCTGACCTTTATTAGAAGTTCATAAAGTATTTCTTTTCTATTGTTACAACAGGATACACAAGTACTTAAGGTAATGATGTTCCAAAACACTTTCTTTTTGAGAGATCGTTGAGTTTTATTCTTCTTCCCCAAACTTGACAAAGTATAGGGTATCCCAAAAGTCTCACTGTAGTTTTAAGCTTAAATAGTTATTAGCTAAGTTATTGTTAGCTAATAGCTATCAAAGTTTAAACTGCAATAAAATCCTTGGACCATCCAATAATTCCATTTGGTCCAACTGTCACATAGACCTTAAGCTACAAGTGGAGCCAGGCATGGTGGTACACCTATAGTCCCTACTGCCAGGTAGGGAGGGTGGTGGATCACCTGAGTTCAGGTAACCTAAACTCAAGTAGAGGTAAAGCCAATCCAGTATCTATGCTAAGTCCAGCACCAATTTGGTGAGCTCTTGAGATCTGAGCTCCTTTAGGCTGCCTAATAAAGGGATGAATTGGTCCAGGTCAGAAAAACAGAGCAGGTTAGCCTGATCCGTATTGGAATCAGGCCTGTGAGTGACTGCTATGTTTCCAGCCTGTGTGAAATAAGGAGACCCAATCTAAAAAAAAAAAAAAATTAAACAAAACAAAAAAAAGCCACATATGCTATCGCTAGTTATTATAGCCACAAGAAAACTATTAGAATAAATTTAATATTTTTGAGGCTGTTAACAGGCAATGTTTCCTCAGTTTTCAGAATTCCATCATATGAGTTGTCCAAAACCTAAGGAAAGAGATATTTTAGAATTGACATTTATTTTAATTTTCTTGGTTTAAGCACACAGCTCTTCAAATCTCTATTACTTGTTTGAAAAAAAAATTTCATTGAGAGACTGTGATACAAAGTATTTTAAAATATTCAACAGATGTTGAATCATAAAAAGAGTTAAGATTTTTAACAGATGACAAATTAAATTATTCCCATATTTCTTGTCTGTTTTTCATGAGATAGCTTATAAATGATTGGTTAACAGCAGTATCGATTATTTCCTTATAAATATGAAATATATGATTGTATTTGAAGATTCATATCAATGATATATTGTTTAGTTTAAGAAAATGAGTCCAATATCTATTAGAAACCCCTTATTCTTGAAATAGCCACAACCCTATCTTTTATGGCTGTAATCAGTCTTCTAACTATTTTATTTGGTACTGAGAAAACTAGGGCAAAAGATTAGTGAAAATCAATACCTTTCTCTATTCAGCCCTGAAAGTTATATAATGCCCTCTGTGGCTTGCTAAGTAAAGATTTTTTTTTTAATTTGAAATGTGCATCTAAAGGCAAATGCACATTTTACTCATCTAAAGCATATTTCTCACACAGCCGTGAGGGGTGAGAAGTTCCACAAAGATACTTAATTATAGGTAGAGCCCACACAAGCAATAGTAAACATGCATCTTAGTCTTACCATTTTCATACTGATTTTTAAATAAATAATGTGCCTGCATGTTTCCATGCCTTTTTTTCTTTTTACCTTCCCATCCATTAATCATGTCAAAGAATGATTATTATAAGCTGTTTGCCTAAATGCACTGTGTATGCCTTGTTTAAAAAGCAACCCAATTACTTCAGATTTACTTACAGCCTCGAAGATGGAGTTCCATGAACAACAGGGCACTGGCCCTCTCACAGTTGAACCATTAGACAAGAAGGAAAAGGAACCTGAGAAAGGAAGTAAGCCTGCTGAACTGCCTAAACATGATGCCTTAGTCGCCCAGCCAGCACAACCTGAGACTGTAGATAAAAAGGACATACATGGCGAAGAAGATGCAAAGGCACCTCTTACTCCATTTGAACAGTCTTTCGGGGAAGAGCTAGAGTACATGCAGCAGAAAAGTGAACCAATCCCTGCAGAACTTGATGTGGGTTTTCCTACAGAGACTGTATTTCAGAAAGAGCAAAAAGTCTTGTCCATTGAAGTACCCAAGGATGAATGGAGTACATATAGTCAATTATCTCCTGGCCCTCTCACACCCATGAAAGAAAACTATGCAGTTCAAGAAATCCCCAAATGGGATGGGAAAAAATTAGACTCTCCAAAGCCAACTCCCTTTGGAAGTGTGAGCTTTCCTTTACCTTCTGAACCTAAGGCTGATTTGTCAGATGCCACTAAAGATACACTTGTTTCTGAAGCACTCCCCATGGCACCAGAGACACTGAAGCCAGAAGATAAAAAGCCCAAGGAAGAGTCCAGTGGCCCACAGATTGCCAAAGAGATTCCAAAGGATGAACAAATCGTTACGGAAAAAACCTCAAAAGCAGAAGAAACAACAATTTCAATGGAAATTACACCATCCATGGAAGCTGACAAACCAACTGTAGCAGAAAGTCCTATTAAGAAAATTTCCAAAGTTGGGGAAGAAAAAGATGTAATAAAACAAGAAAGTGAGCAGAAAACAGAACCAGGTACATTCAATGGACAGAAATCTACTTTGCTTGACAGTGAACTGCAGCCAAAACCAGAAGAGAAAAATGTCCTTCCTGAAAAGAAAACTATGCCAAAAGAAGGTGAACTTCAGAAGATATCAGATGAAGAGATGGGCATCATCAGTGTCTCAACAGAGAAAACATTCCAAAAAGAAGAAAAGAAAGACCAAAAAACTCCCATTGATGATTTAAGACATGATGCATTCCCTGAAGGCCTAGAACAAGTGCTCTCAGGTCCTGCCACAACTTCAAAAATGCTGGATAAAGCTCCTGATGAACTAGGTCTCCTCAGTGAAAAGACTGCAACCAAGGAACTGTTTCGAGAGGAAGTTGTTGACAAAGACATTGAGGCCCACAGGGCAGGGGTTGCAGCCTCTCTTGATTACGATAGGCAGCTCGATGAAGACAAATCTGGAATGTCAAAGTACTTTGAAACCTCCACGTTGAAAGAAGAAACCACAAAGAGCATCCAGTCTGGCAGTGATTACTATGAACTGAGTGATACAAAAGAAAGTGTCTATGAATCCTATGATACAGCTTCACCTGTACATAAAAGTTCTGAAAAGGAGTTTTATGCAGAAAAGGAGCAGCAACCTGCTCCCATTTTAGAGGGGGGATACAGTACCCTTGCACAGAGCTATCCAGCTGACCTGCCTGAAGAACCTAGCTCTCCCCAAGAAAGGATGTTCACCATTGATCCAAAAGTTTATGGAGAAAAAAGAGACCTCCACAGTAAAAATAAAGATGATTTGACACTGAGCCGGAGTTTAGGACTTGGTGGTAGATCTGCCATAGAACAAAGAAGCATGTCAATCAATTTACCCATGTCTTGCCTGGATTCCATAGCACTTGGCTTTAACTTTGGCCGGGGACATGATCTCTCTCCACTGGCTTCTGATATTCTAACTAATACTAGTGGAAGCATGGACGAAGGGGATGATTACCTTCCAGCCACAACTCCTGCCGTGGAGAAAGCTCCTTGTTTTCCAATAGAAAGCAAAGAGGAAGAAGAACAATTGGAGGAGGAGAAAGCAACCAGAGCGGAAAATATCCAGGTAGAATCATTGTGTGAGTCACCTTTCCTGGCCAAAGATTATTATAAAAATGGGTCTGTGATGGCCCCTGACTTGCCTGAAATGTTAGATCTAGCAGGCACGAGGTCCAGGCTAGCTTCTGTGAGTGCAGATGCTGAGGTGGCAAGAAGGAAATCAGTACCATCAGAGACACTGCTTGAAGAGAGCAGCACTGGCTTGACTACTCTAACTGATGAAAACCATGTTGCCACAAAAGCAGACAGTCAACTTGAGGATCTAGGTTACTGTGTTTTCAATAAATATACAGTTCCTCTACCATCACCTGTCCAGGACAGTGAGAATTTATCTGGTGAAAGTGGTTCCTTCTATGATGGTTCTGATGACAAGATCCGAAGAGATTTGGCCACAGATCTCTCGTTGATTGAAGTGAAATTGGCAGCAGCTGGAAGAGTCAAAGAAGAGTTTAGTAGTGAGGGAGAACTAGCCCAGCCCATCTCTGGTGATAAGTCAGGTCTTGGGAGGGAGTTTGATCATGAAAAGAAGAGTAGTGAGAAATTGGATACTGTGCTAGAAAAGAGCGAAGAACACTTTGAATCCAAAGAAATGCTGCTTCTCGAAGAAAAAGAGCATCCGAAAAAAGTAGCAGAGGGAGTGGATCAAGTTGAAGCATTTGGAACAGGAATGACCTTTGAACAAGTATTTGGAAAAGAGCCCATCAAACCAAAAGATGCTTCTATTTTCATAAGTGAAAAGGCAGAAAAGAGTCTTAGTTCAGTGCCAGAGGTGGCTGAGGCAGAACCATCCCCCAAAACAGACCATGGCTTGGATGCTGCTGCCAAGAAAGATGAGCAGAGTCAACCTGAGGCTAAGATCAGTGACTTTGGGCAGGCTGCTTCAGGACCGGGGGGAGATACTGAGAAAGAAACAGAACCTCATACCCAGGCTGCTGAACAAGACAGGACCCCCATAGCCAAACCCCCTGAGGCAGACACATTTCCCAGTACTGAGCCCAGCCACCTGAAAGAGAGCAGCAAGGTTTCTGAGACAGAAGTCAAAGAAAAAGTGGCCAAGCCTGACCTGGTGCACCAGGAAGCAGTAGATAAAGAGGAATCCTACGAGTCAAGTGGGGAACATGATCACACTCCTGAGAGTCTGACTATGGAGTCCTTGAAACCTGATGAGGGCAAGAAAGAAGTGACCCCGGAAGTAACTGGACTACCAGAAGACATCACAATCAAATTGCCGGCAGAAGAGCCTCCAGCAAAAACTGATGCAAAGAGTTACGAAGTACAGACTGAGGGGACTGATGCTCAGATGGAGCAAGTTCAGGAGCCCAAAGAAGAAGTTAAGGAAACTCCAGACATCTCCATCACTCCCTCAGAAGTCATCGAACCATTGCTGCAAGGGATTGTATCTGAACCAGAGGGAGCTCAGAGGGAAGAAGAGGAAGAAATAGAAGCCCGGGGAGAATATGATAAACTACTTTTCCGCTCAGAAACTCTCCAGATGACAGACTTGAGTGTTCCAGCTGTCAAAGATGAATTGGTGGAGATGGGTGCAGCCGAGATGCCCGAGTACAAGGGAGTGATTGAGTCAGTGGTGACCATTGAGGATGACTTCATCACCGTCGTACAAACCACCACAGAAGAAGGGGAAACTGGTTCCCATAGTGTACGGTTTGCTGCCCTAGAACAGCCAGAGGTGGAAAGGAGGCCCTCTCCCCCTGAAGAAGAAGAAGAACCACAAATAGAAGAATCTGCAGAAGCACTTGGAGAACCCAAAGAAGGCTCCCCCGAGGCCCCTGCTTCGCCAGAAAAGGAAGAAGTTGGCTTTTCTGAATACAAGACAGAAACATATGATGATTACAAAGATGAGACAACCATTGATGACTCCATCATGGATGCTGACAGCCTCTGGGTGGATACTCAAGGTGTGCATTATCCTTTTTTTTTTAATTTCTTGCTACCTAACAAAACTTAATAACCTAATGGACAAAAATTATAAATGTCCAGTGCCCAAAATAGTTATAAATACCATAACATTTTAAAGTATCCCTGTATTTCATTTTTTTAAACCCCAAGGACCTTTGATGTCCCTTACTAATTTCTGATGTTGCTGTTGTTTTGTTGTTATAATTTCCTTTGATCCCACAGATGATGATAGAAGCATCATGACAGAGCAGTTAGAGACTGTTCCTAAAGAAGAGAAAGCAGAGAAGGAAGTTCGGAGACCATCTCTCGATAAACATAGGAAAGAAAAACCCTTTAAAACTGGGAGAGGCAGAATTTCCACTCCTGAAAGAAAAATAGCTAAAAAGGAACCTAGCACAGTCTCCAGAGATGAAGTGAGAAGGAAAAAAGGTTCATTTAACAATCCTTATTATTATTTTTTTTATGTGTGCCAAGTACTTCATGGTTACTGTTTTGTGGCCAGTACAATGGTAACTTTATTAATTTATCAGATTTTATTTGGTTTTATTGAACTTGTTCATTTTTTCCTGATTGTGTGCTTTTGTGTTTTCTTATCCATAGCAGTTTATAAGAAGGCTGAACTTGGTAAAAAAACAGAAGTTCAGGCCCACTCTCCCTCCAGGAAAATCATTTTAAAACCTGCTATCAAATATACTAGACCAACTCATCTCTCCTGTGTTAAGCGGAAAACGACAGGTGACTGTGTTCAATTCTGCAATGTGGCTGGCAAACATAGACACCTATCTTTTTTTTTTTTTAATCCCATTGCCTTAGCAGCTTCCTCATCTTATTTTTTTCTTCTGAGATCCTACAGTGTCATAAATGCTATTGCTATTAAGCGTGTTTTATCGTTGTTTTGTTTTGTTTTCCCCAGACAGAAGTCATTATCACATATACGCTTGTCATGCTCAGACATATCAGTGCGTGAGTGTATCCTAGCATTGTGTTTTACTTTTCTGTTGAACAGATCCTTGCTTTCCATTCTGTGTGTTCTGGTGAGGAAATGGTGACAGCTTTCACCATGGTATACATCTCCATTTATTTTGATTTTTTTTCTCCTCATGCCTAAAAAACCATATGTATTTTTCACATTTTCTACATCAGCACTGCCAAATCTGTTACTGATGTTGATGAATTTCATTAAAACCACCAAGAGAATCTGAGGGTTTATTAAATGAAAATGAAAGAGAAAAATTATGGTAAATTTAAGTGGCACTATGTGATTTGCAAAATGCTTTTGCTTTGGAGGGAAAGAAAATAGAAGGAAAATGGGAGTATATTATAATCTCAGCAGATTTTTATTTCTCAACAATCCAAAAGTAACAAGACTTTCCATCCAAGAGCGCTGCATTTTCTGTGCTGACTCTTTGATATCAGGATAAAGAAATGTTAATGGGCCTACCCAGTGAAATTTACCTGCATAGTCAGCATGTACAACTCTAAGATAAAACTGCTTTTCCATGGCTTTCTGAGCCTGTGAAGCCTGTCTATTTTTATTGCCTCCTTATTTGTCTTTATTATGTGAAGTACCATTATCTATATCATTAAGTCTGGAAAGGTAGGGGATGAAATATCATACAGCAATAATAGATGGGAACCCATGCAGCTCTCTGGATCCTAAAGCATAATTTGTGTGTATCGTAGGTGAACTATAGATGTATTGTGTATCTAATTTTGTACTGTGTTTTATCATTTTAACTTTTCTTAGCTGGCAGCCATATAGACTACTATATGAAATAACAGATGTACAGAACAATTAGAAAAGAATTCTTTCTCCTTTCATTCCAAACCACATATGCCCCTCTATAAACCTTTGGAGGGTTTTTCTCTGAAGGTTTATTATAGCTCAGATAATGACCTATGAGTCTTAGAATCTGTTTGATTGTGAGATTTCTTTGACATCATCTAAAGGACAAAATATTTCATGAGGTTTTTTTTTTTTTCCCCTGTAGGAATTAGTAGCTATGCTTCCTTTCAGGCCCTGTGCATCTAAGGCATATTTGGGAAATAAGTGCTTATAATTACACATGGACCCCTGATGGTAAAGCTTAGAATTGGGGTTTTTGGCATTTTAAGAGTTATGGTGAATTAGGAACTAAATGGGTCATCAAGAATCATGCATCATTAAATAACCTTTTGAGGTTTTCAGCACCTTCCAATTTCATACATCTCTTCTAGTTAGATAGATGGGTGGCTAAACTGAGTCACCTGGGCCTGACTTGGGTACCTGTAGCAAACAAACTTTTAACTTGCAGCTTTATCCCACTTCATATACCCTCCTGGTGAGGACTGTATGATTTTATCATAACTAAGCAGAGAAGTTTGCATAGTGAGTTGTGTGTGTGTGTGTGTGTGTGTGTTCTGTCCAGAGCTGAGAAATAGTCAGTGCTCCTAATACTCACATACCTCTAAGTTTTAAAATGCCCCCGAGAAGGAAATGAGACAGTACCTTTGCCTTGTGTTTGGTATTTGTTTTATGTGATCGATTAGGCACTAATATCCATCACTTGTCATCTTCTCTGTACATTACAGGATAGGGTTTTAAAAAGAATAGGTCGTAGTGTAAAGTAGTGGGTTGTCAGTCTCTTTGAATTGTCATGCCAGAAGGAGGCTAAATTCTCCCTATTAACAAAAATCAAATAATTGTAAGAATAGGACTGATTTATATTCCCAGTTTTAGGATCACTTTCTTATTGCTAGCGGAAGGACAAAAACCACTAGTTTCCCTAGTAAAACATTTTGTATAGTTTAAAAAGAAATATTTAAGATTTAGTGGGAAGAAAGATTATGATTTAGCTCTTCCTTAGGCATAAGAGCTTTTATTCTATCCCATATGGTTACACAGTCAACATTTCAAGGGTCAAAGTTGTGTGGGATCGGTGGGAAAACATGAAACTATAACTTGGGAAACATTTCTTTTATGAAACAGTAGAAAACTGAAGTCATTGGTGCAAAAGCAAAACTGCCCATTTAAATTTTTAAAAATTTTATTTTTAAAGTTAAGTGTATTGGATAATTTGGGAGCATCCTTCATCCAACCAAAATTAGCATTTTTTAAACATTTGGATGGATTCATGATCCACTGATGATGATATGATCCCTCAGCCCAACACCTTTTCCTTGTCATGTGTTATTCTTAGCCATGTCTTTCATTAAATCCTTCCAAGAGGAACAACCTAAGAAGCTAGAGGCATTCTCCTAATTCTTTCAATATTTTGTGGATACTAGGGGCACAGTGTTCAGGTGATCTGGCCGCTATTTTTTTGATTGTCACTACATAACTGAACACTAACCTAGCCTAAAACAACAGACAGAACGTGGAAACCCCTTTTCAAAGCAAAATTTATCTAAGTCTCAGTGATTTAAAATCTGTGGAACCAAAACATAAAAGTCAAAAGGTACTTTTTTTTGCCCCGTAGAAGAGTTAATTCATAAGTTGTTGGAATAACCTTTAAACAAAAGGAATCCTTATGCTATCTGGACAATTTTGTCAGTAATCAACAATTCAACATTAGAAACATGAATTGTGAAACAATCCTCTTAGCAGATGAGTCAGAGGAATAGAATTTTTTTCTTTTTAAATTGAGTTTTCCTATTTTATGGAAGAGGGAAGGGAAATAAAAGAAGATCCTTAGGAGGGAGCTGGGGGGGAATAACCATAAGAAAGTTTGTTTCATCATTTAAACATCTACTCCAATATCTATATCACCATCTACTAGTGTGAACATGTAAGATGCTACTATCATTGTTACTAATATCCCAAAAGTCACAGGGAACAGAATGTGCAATTTAGTACTTTGTGACCTGAAGGAAATCACCTCATAATTATTAAATTGCACCACTGTGACCCTAGCATTAAATCTGTTTGTTTGGTCATCATTGTTATTGTTATTAATGTTAATGTTATTTGATTTGGGGAGAGCTCCAGAAACACTTTATTTGAATTTTTATCAAAGTCACAAGGAATTGATTGATTAATTCGTGTGAAGTTGTGGGATCAGGTAAGTTATCAACAGAAAGAATCTGTTGTAAAATTGCGTAAGAGAGGATGAAGTTCAAAAACCAAAGAGACACACAGCACCTGCAAAAAGAAACAGCAGTAACAGATGTGGTCATAACAATGCAGGGAGTGCATGTTTAGAACGCATCCTGCTTTACATCATAAACTTTAAAAATGTTTCTCTCCTTTTCTCTCCTTTCTAAGTTATACCTACCTTTTATCCCCTTTTCTTTTTGGACATTTTCAAGTCGGGCAAAATGTTTTATGTTTGTTTGTATTACACGTGTACGTACAAATATTAGGAATTGAGGGCTGAGGAAGGCTTGGGGTAAGCCAATATTGACAGATTTAATGGGAAGTGACAGAGATTTCTGAGGACATGGCAAAACCTTACAGATCCAGGATAAGAACTGAGGATCTTTAATGAGTCCTCATGATGTGAATTATCATTTTCAAAAAAATGTAAGCTGTGCTTTTATCTTTGCTACCACCACAATAAAACAAAAAATAAAACAAAACCCTTGGAGTAAATGAACATCTGCCACACAGTGCAGAAATCTTAGGTTGTGTAGGAATTTAAGGTTCCCAGATGTTCACGGAGAAGTCTCAGGATGGAGGCCAGAGACTGATTTGAAAAATTTAAACAAAGCATGTTAAAGAAGTCTGGACCTAGCACTGGACACCTGTGTTCTAATCCTGTCTCTGCTACTAACTAATGTGACCCTGATTATCTAATCCAACCCCTTCATTTTAGAGATGAAGAAAGTAAGGATTGGATAAATGATTTGCCCAAGTGGCTGAGTCAGTATTTAGTTCCTTCCATTCCTAACACTCTATGATTCCATACAAGAATAAATTTTGTACTTTCCCTTTATTTAGAGTTCACAGAAATCACTTGGGTTATGTGTGGAAGAAGATGCCAGAGAGATATTGGCAACAACTTACTTAACTTACTTTCAGTTGCATAAACTTATATTTAAAACCTATAAACTTATACTTAAATTTTATAGTTATAGAAAGCCTTTGGAGTAAAAAAAAAAAAAAAAAACACACATGGATTTTTGACTTCTAAGTCCCAGAATAGGAAAACTAGGAGGGATATTAGAAAGGTTTGAGAGAGTAGGGAACCTTAATAAGGAGAAAAATTTGGGCTACATAAAACTGAATCAAAGAATATGAGACTGCTCACTAACTTGTAGTAGGAGGAGAAGGAGGAGGAGGAGGAGTAATAGTAATAGTAAACAGTGGCACCAGCAGCATCCCAGATTTGTTGTGAGAATAAAATGAGATCATATTTGCTTTACAAATATCATCTCATTTTATCCTCACAACAAATCTGGGGCATAGGTGCTATTATTATCCCTATTTTACAGATGAGGAAACTGAGGGAGATAGCAGTTAAGTGTCTTACCCAGGGTCACACAACTAGTAAGTGTCTGAGGCTGGATTTGAACACAGGTCTTCCTAACTCTAGGCCCAGGGTTCTACCCAGTGTGCCACCTAGAGGCTTATATGTGGCTTGGTGATGCATTTATCCATGTTCCTATATTTACAAAATATGGTTTGTAAATCCTAATAAACAAAGTTTCATTGTGCCCTTCTCTATGGGCACAGCCAGTTGTGTTGAGGTATTATTTCAATATTCTTATTATATTTCCTTATTATTGTTGTTGGTCCAACAGCGGCAGGTGGAGAAAGTAACCAGGCTTCTGGTATATATAAACAAGCAAAGGACAAATACTCAGTAAGTAAAATAATTTTCTCCTTATTCCTGATCTGATTCTCCTTTCTGTATTCCTTGAGAGATTTTGCTTATTTAATTACAGCATTATGAGGAATTTATTCCTTTCCTTTGAAATGCAATCTTAAACCATTTAAACAATATTGTGCCCTTATGTTCATAGTCTTGACAAAAAAAAAATGATGGTGGTTCATCATGCACCATTTGTGCCTTACTTCAGAGCATTAGAAAAGATGAGTGCTAAGTAATGTATGTATAAACATCTTTGGCTGTGTCTGTTAGTCTTTTTAGCTATGTATGATAGACAAAGTGAGGAAGAGGTTTGGAAATGATGGACCTGACCTATAGAGAAAACTGCTCTAAATCAGATAGGTCCCAAGATACTGTTTCAAGCACAAAATATCTAGTTTGCCTGTCTCCAGGATCCAATTGAACCGAATGAGTTCTCCCTTTCACTTCTGCTATTCAGATATGATCTTAAACTGAACAAGCATGATGGACAAACTAGCATGAAAGAAGGATGTAATCTGGTTACCTGGTATGTCCATGTGGCTTGGAATGGGCACCCAGATTCAATCTTATTAGGAACCATTGAAAACAAATATGCTAAGGCCCTATCTCAAGTGTACCTTTAACGGATAGCCAAGGCCAAGTGCTTTTGTGGGCAGAAGGAAAAGTTGCCTTGTGATTGGCTGAAACAACCACGTGACAAATCACTGATTCCTTAGTTATTTCAGAGTAGATTCACAAATCACAACCATCTTAACTGCTTTTGGGATATTAAATCCAATCAATCATTTGGGATATATTGATTTCTACTTTTTGTGCAGTCCTTAAAGCTACCGAATTTTATTTTTTTTTTGAAGCAAGACTCATACATAGATACACAAAAGCCTAGGGGAGCTTCTCATGTGAAAACTCTCTCCACCTATACAGATCTACAACCAAATGATTTAGGAGATGTCAGTCATTTAAGCAACAAATATTTATGAAATGGCTACTTTGTGCCAGAAACAAGGTCAAGAGCTGGGACCACAAAAGGAAAAAAGCGAGATAATCCCTGCTTTCAAGGCACTTACATTTTGTCTGATTTCTAGGGACATTCCTGAGCTACACAGAATGAAGTGGCTTTCCAGGGGTAGGCAGCTAGTGTCAGGCAGGTTTTGAACCCATCTTCCTGATTCCAAGCCTAGAATTTTCTTTTATTCCCTTATGTTCTGGTTGTTGTTGTTGTTATTGTTATTGTTTTTTAAAAAGATTATTTCCTTTAATACCAATAACATCTTTTTACTTGGGAACTTTTAGTCAAATGACAAAAGATGTCATTTATTTGATTTATTCTCAAATTAAAAATCTTCATATATAAATAAGGCATGGTTGAATGAGATAGTGATTTATTCAGATATATTACTTTACAATGTGGCTAACAATGTCATCTTTATGCTTTGATAAACATTAGACTTTAGATGACTACATTTTGTCCCCAAGATAAGTATCTCAGCTCTTCCGTCTTCTGATTGAGCTCTAAGGCAGCAACATCAGGTAGAAAATTAAACTGAATTCATGTCATGAGAACATCTTGTTACCAATGACATTTGTTTTGAATATCCCATTTTTATCTCTGATTTACCCCCTAATTCTTAGCCTTACCCTCCACTGATTTCCACAAGATCATTGTTAATGGTCGTGACCCCTAGGATTCTTTCTTATTCACATTTTCTAGATTTATGGCAGAGATAGTCATCCTCTGGCTCTGAAGACAATGTCGTTACTGTATTTTTCTAAACCACACTTTTGATTATGTGTGGGAACAGCTGAGTGGGGTGACTTGTGCTGACCCACTTACACTTCCCACACATACTTCCGTGGACTGTAGGAGGAGAAGAGACAGTGTCCAATCTGTGAGTGCTCACTGGCTCGTGGAAGTATCAGCAGAGGGCAAAGCTAGAAATGGGACCTCAGTGCCAATCGTGATTTTGCTTAAGCGTCAAGTCTTACTAACATTTGTGTGTGTGTGTGTGTGTGTGTGTGTGTGTGTGTGTGTGTGGAGAAAAGTATCATTTCTATCACAAATTCTTACATTTCTAATAATCTCCCAAGAGAGATGTCCTATTGGCCATAGGTATTTCCCTGAAATTGTATATCCAGTGCATACATATAGACAGAAACTACCAGGGAATCTGACTCCTTTAATATTAGCCTTGTGGTTTAAATGCAGTGTCTTTTAGTCTGACGGCAATCCTAGAAATCATAGACAGCACATCAGTATGCCCTGTGTTTGACCAATGTTCCAATGGACTATAGATGCACTGCCTTGAATGCCAGATACAATGGCCATCCATACATTTCTATCATATAGTCTTAATATAGTGAATTGGCTCATTTTAAGCATATAATTAGAATATTAGGGATACTATCCTCTGAAGTAATTAACATGTTAGCAAAATTGCTCATACTTATGCAATCCTTTAAAACTGTGAAGCACTTTACATACACTAATTATCTCCTTCCATTCTCACAATGATCCTGTAAGACAGGTAGTTAGGACCAGTCTAATTATCAATATATGAAAAAACTGAGAATCAGGAAGGTGTGATGCAGCATGAAAGGAATACTAGGTCTTAAGTTGGGAAAAGTTGGATTGCAATTTTTTTCTCTAACATCTGTTAGCTGTATGACCATGAGCAAGGCATCTCACCATTCTGAGCCTCAGTTTCTTCATCTGTGCAATAGAGATGGTATAATACCTACCTCACAGAGTTGTTCTGAGGGTCAAATTCATAAATTATTTGGAAGTACTGCAAAGCACCATATAAATGTCAGCTGCTGCTGCTACCATCATCATCATCATCACCATTGTTATTACTAACTTCCCTCAAAGACCTCATCCCCTCCCAGCATCCTGAGAGACTTCAGCATTCATGTGCAGGAGTCTTCAAACACCTACCTGTATCCATGTCCAGCACAAAACATCTGGATACCCTCATGACCACATCAGAAACCCCACATCACCTGACAACTTTGCCACTTCTAAATTTCTGTACTTGGAAATAGCACCATTTCTTATCCTCCCTCCCTCACCTTCTCACTGTCTTCTCACGCTAACTTACTTGCTTCTTTGCCCCATAGCCAGGCACTTTAATCATTTCCTAGCCATCACCCTATATTTTATTATTTCTTTGTCTTTCTTGTGCTCCTGTCACGTGAGTTCTCTATCCCAAGTAAGTGCTATTGATTTTCTTCTTGATTCTGGGCTGTTAAGCATTGCTGGAAACAGGCTCAAAATCAATCAGATTTTATTCACTATAAATTTATGCTACATAACTGTGGCTTCACTGTTGCTTAGCAACTCATTTATTCTACTATTTATTCATTTCCCTATCCTATTTCCTACAGCAAACGGTTTACGTGGTTTTTTTTCTCTCCTTATACTCTCAGCCCCTCCTCCATGCTACTCTCATGCTGTCTGTTTTATTGAGGATATGGTAACAGAATCCTCTTGACTTCCTCCATCTACATACCTCTAAACTTCTCATTTTCATCACCTCCACTGTCTTCTCTTTCCATGCTATATAGGAGAAAGAAAAGGACTTATTTCCAAGGCCGACAATTATGCCTTTAATCCCAGTTAGGTGACACAGGTGATAGAGGACCAGATCTGGAGTCAGGAAGACCTGAATCCAAATGCAGGTTCTGACACTTACTAGCTGTGTGCTCCTAAGCAAGGCAATTCACCTCTGTCTGCCTCAGTTTCCTCATCTGTAAAATGGGGATAATAATAGCACCTACCTCCCAGGTTTGTTGTGAGGATCAAATGAATTAATGTTTGTGAAGTACTAAGCATAGTATCTGGCCCTTAATAAATGCTTGCTTATTTGCTTCCTTCCTTCCCCCACCCTTCCTCTAGGACCCTGCTCTGTCTATCATTTTCCCTTTCTCATGTATCATCATTATTTCTCTTTCCATTTGGCACCTTCCGGTTGGCTTACAAACATGCCTAGGTATTTCCAAATCTATTATTATCTGTTTTAAACCCTTCTGCCTCACTAAGCTACTGCCCCACCTCTTCCCTTTCGGCACCAAACTTTACTTCTCAGTGTGCCCTCCAGTAAGGCAGAGGTATCTGTTATTGCTATTGGTTTTTTCGTGGGCATTATGACATTTTGGCGTTTGCATCCATAGTGCTGTGGCCTAGTCTAAGCAAGAAGCAAGGAAAATCCATTGTCTTCACTTGAACACGAACCATGTTATCCTCAATTCTATAACAACGTCCACGTCTATTACCAGATATGGAAATATATGTCATTCTAGAATCAGATTTCTTTCCTGTTGTATTTGCTTTTTATATTTTTATGTGAGGGATTTTATCTGCTTCATTGTATGCTTTTTCTTGTTGTCCAAGACTAGAATTCTGCTTTGCCAAAGATTCCTGCCTCCAACAGTCAGGACAAAATCATTGTTTCTTCTAAGAGGCAGGTCAGATTGTTCTGATACCACTAAAACAACTGCCTTTCGCAATTTTCAATTTTTGTATGACCTTCCTCAGTAGGCTCACCTTGCCTTATTCAGAATCTGATATGTGATCTAGGTCAAGCTTATAGGACATGAAATCAGGAAATATAGGAAAACAAGGTTCCCCAAAATTGCAAAACAGTCAGAAACATAAACAGACTTTAATTTAAAAGAAAACACATTCCAAGTTTCTATTTTCATTATAAAGTTAGCCAAGAACCAAAGTATATGATTTTTTTCCTGAAAATTCTTTCCAGCCTCAATTTCTCAAAATGTTGTCATATATGCAAGAATAAACTGCCTACTTCTTTCCCTTTTTAATGAACAAATTAATAGGTTACCAGTCCCACATACTATACGCAATGATTTTTTTTTCTGATTTACTTAAATCTTTATAAGTAAATATACTTCAGAAAACTTGTTATTTGAGCTTTTAATTGCATTTTCCATATTTGGAATTTTTGCCCTAAATAATATACTTTTTTTCAAATCCCTTGGAAAAACACTGACTTTTAAAGCTAAGAAGTAGAGATATTTGGATGGATCTGAAAATAAGATATTTACCTTGTTATAAAGGGAGTGGGGAGGAGAGGAAGGAAAACTTTGTTTCAGCATGATATAGGCAATGAAAAAATGGAAACCTAATATATGTGCTATTCTAATTGCTAGAAAATTATATGCAATATACAAAAACAACTGGGTTGTATCAAAGTTGGTCAATCGTGGTAAAAGTTCACTATTTTTGAAAACAAAAAAGTTTCACAAAATTACCAGGTCAATAATTAACCTTTCTATTATGACATATACTGCCTTAAGAAAGTAGGGGCATGGAGAGGAGCAGAAACTTCCTCTAGTTCTTGATGGCTGCACCAAAAATTATCCTCCATACTTACAACGCATCCCTCAAGTGCCAACTTCTATAAGAAGCCTAGTCTAATCTACCCTAATTGATACTGGGGCCATCAATTTCTGGTGCCAGAGATTGCCTTGTATTTTCTTTAATTACCTGTGTACATTTTAACCAACTGACCTCCAATGCAATATGAACTCCCTGAGAGAATCAATCATTTTGTTTTGGTGTTTGTATATCCGAAGTCTAATACGATGCTTTCTTTATAGTAGACACAATGAGTGACTAAGGAATGAATGAATGATAAGTCTCTCCAACGGTACATTTGATTTTGTTTTTTATTTTTGACTAGGATGGTGTGAGCAAGAGCCCTGAAAAGCGCTCCTCTCTGCCCAGGCCTTCCTCCATCCTTCCTACTCGAAGAGGGGTATCAGGAGACAGAGATGAGAATTCTTTCTCCCTCAACACTTCTATGTCTGCTTCAGTACGACGAACCACTAGTATGTATGCTTATATCTGTTTTTCTTTTATTTTAATGGAAATGTCTCCAGTGGATATATAGTAAACTTATTACTTGCTTTTTCAGAATTGTTTATGAAGAACCTTAATTAGAACTGGATACTCTTTAACAAGATTTCTAAGCAGGGTATAATAGATTCACTTTGTGACTATGGGCAGTCCCCCTAACTATTCTGAAAGTTATATTTCTCATGCATAAAGTGAAACTACCCATCTTCTTAGCCCTGATCAAAAGGCAATGACATATTTGGGACTCTTTAGAGTAGAGAATATCTGTTTGTTATAAAAGGAAGAGGTAATATAATTTAGCTGCCACTCCTATTTCTACACTGGTACAATGGCATATTTTCCTTTAAAATATCACTAACTTTGATTATTTCCACATTTGCCATGGCATACATTAATGATTCAACAGTCCTTTCAAGAACCTAAAATACATAGAAGCATATCTAGCCAAGATTGCCCTATTTCCTAAATTGTGACCAAAAATCTACAACCAACAATAATTACTTTTATCTTACGTGTCTAAGTCAGCTTCCCTTACAGAGTTGTGTATAGAATAAAACCAAGTTTCTGGAGGAATTGTATCCTAAGCCTGCCAATTTCCAAATTATTGTTCTTAACACATGTTATTCAAGAGTATTTCTGTCATTCAAAATCCACAAAATTCAGAATATTCAATAAGGAACAAGAAGTAGAATATAAATGAAAAGGCTAGTATTGTTACTATTGAAATAATGATCAGAGTAGTGCTTTTCATCACCTGGTATATTGAAATTAATAAACTTGAAGTTTATCTATTCAAGCACTAAATAAACTTACAAATGCTGTAGATTTTTTTGGGCTGTGGAATTATGTGTTTATCTAAACAACCAAATCAACCTCCTTTTTTAGCTACTGATCAAAATAATAGCCCTAATCACAACCAATTCAAGTAATTTTTGTTTTTAAAGAATGTTGATCATCCAACATGGTTAGTTAGGATGGGCAAATCTAGTCAAGAAGAATTGGGTTTGACTTCGCTCTAATGCATGAGCTTAATTGGTTTTTTACTGGTTATTGAGCAAGCTCTCTTCCCTCAAGCATTACTTTACTTTTTTTTCCCCCTGCATGTAGAGGAGCTTATAGGTTCTTGTGGCTCATTTTTGTTTTGTTTTGTTTTGTTTTTGCTTTAGGGAGATGCTCTTTGTGTCTTGTCTAAATGAATTTGTCTTTCAAAAATTTGAAAAAGAGATGAAGCTGCTTCTATCTCAGTGTTTTGAGTGATTTGAGCAAATAAATGGTGCTACCCAAGTACCATCTCAATGCTCAATGGAGTCAGAATGCTGATATTTTTCCCCCTCAAGTAGGTTCTTACTGTCATTGAATGCAAAACATCCATTTGGTTCAAAATTTAGTGATGGTATCATTGTGTAGATGTGAATGGGGTAATTTTTTTCCTCACAAAAGAAGAATATATCATCTGTGGTTTAATATTTTCATATGATAATGCAAATTCAAAAGAAGGAATAAATTTGGAAAGCAACAATAATAATAGCTAATTATATAGCACTTGAAGATTTGCAAAGCACTTTACATATTATCCCAATGGATCCTCACAATAACTCTGCAAATTGGATGCTATTATCATCCCATAGATGGGGAAACTGAGGCTAAGAGGGCTTCAGTACTCTGCCCAGGGGCACGCACCTAGTATAGAAGCATGTGCATATTGCTAATACAATTGTGCATATTGCTATTAAGATACTAACTGCACAATTTTCTAACTTGGCTCAGTTAAGTAGCCCCTAGCTGTCCCCACAGTTATAATTCTTATCAATATTTATTGCATCAAAGTAGCTTTAGGATATTACTCTGTTATATTACCTAAAGATTATAAATCTTCAAAATGACAATTCAGAACCCTTTAGAAATGAATAGCATAGTATGTTCTGATATTTAATATACTTTGATTCCTCATTCCAGGGTGGGATTTTCAAGTTAGAACACCTCTTTGCACAACCGTCCACCTCAATTATTTATAGAAAAATTGAGGAAGAACTGACCAGGAGATAGGCAGCCTTTGAGAAAACTGGAATCAATCCACAAAGGGTTTCAAGGATATGTTAATAATTACATTTACAGGCACCCACCCAAACAATAACAGGTAATGGAACTAAGTTTGTAGTGACTCCATCTCATCCCTTTAAACTAATTCATTCTGAACTAGTTAAAATACGTTCTTTTTATATCATTTGCTTTTTTATCTCAATTTTTTATGAAATTCATCCTTATTAGGTTTTCAGTATAGTAGCATTTTGACACTATTAGTGAAAATTACTGAACATCTGGACAGCTAAAGTCCCTTCCAGCTTAAAACCTATGAATCTGTAATCTGAAGGAAAATGATATACTTTTGTCAGAAAACAGTAATACCTAGTAGGCACAATAACAGTTGGACCACGGAGCATTTTGCCTATTTTTTTTATATTATCCTCTCTCTCATTGCAGACAAGAAAATAGCTGACATTTTGTAAAGCTATTTGAAAAACAGAGAAGGGAATTATTTCACGGGAGAGCTAGCCAGAGAGAAAGCAAACGCATTGACATGAAGAGTTTATCAACAACTCTGTCTGTAAAAGTATGTGGTTAGATTTTTTTTTACAGCCCAAAGAGTGTGAATTTAGCCCTTGTAACCTCAGAGTATGTACCCGGTGGAGGTAATGGATTTATACTTTGACAGACAAAGCCTTAATTACTCCTGCAAAAGCTATTATGAGTTCAGTACCAAAGAAATGGTTAAGAAAGACCTTGAGATTTCAGTATTCCATCATCTGTAAATATGGTGCTCATGGTTTTGTCTCAGATTTTTAACTGTCTTGAAGCATAAGGCAGTTTTCCACAAGGTTCACAATGATTATAGAATTAGTTAGCTTTCCCTGAGGCTAAAAATCATTTCAGTAGGAGCTGCCCCCTAGCTGAGAGGATAGCCTGCCTTTAATTAGGCTTTCTCCACATTCATACTGGGCGATTGTTGTGACTGGAGGTTTATAGGAATTCAGAATTTCCCAGAAGGGGAAGGTTTTCCCTCCATCTATGTAGTCTTAAACAAGTTTTTGAAGGTTCTTAGTTTCTTTACCTACTCAAGAGTCAAGAATCTCAAGTTTGGGTAGGGGTGGGAGGAGGATAATTTGAGAGAACTCCTTTGGAAAAGAGATAAATAATGTGATATGACATTCTGAAGAACCCAGTGATTGAATTAATTTATTGAAAAATCTAAAAGGCCTATTGAGGTATAACTATATAAACAGCTTTGAAATGCAATATATTTGGAAAGCTTTTCAAAAAATTGAATTTGCACTCCTTCACAGAAACTTGCAACAATAATAGCTAGTATTTATATAGCTCTTTAAGGTTCGCAAAGTGCTTTGCAAATATATATATGTTAATTGAGCCTCACAACCCTGGGAGGTAGGTGTTACTATTGTCCCTATTTTGCAGATGAAGAAACCAAGGCAGACAGAGTTTAAGTAACTTGCTCACAATCACACACCTAGTGACTGAAAGGTCAGGTCTTCCTAACCCTGGATCCACCTAGAATAGTCAACCTGGAAAAGAAAAGATTGAGAGGAAAAACAGAATAATTCTTAAAATGTCCTCTGTTGGAAGAGGGTACTACAAAACAAGGCTGCATGCACCTGTTATTCAGCTCATTTCAAATGAGATTTGTATGTTTAAGTAGAGAGCAAGGAAGCTAGAAAGTAGCAACTTAAAGTTAAGTTTAGAGTAAAAACCTAGAGAGTAGCAAATTTACTTTAGATAGTTAGTGAAAGCACTATTCATGCCTGTAAGGATTGCTGGATAGTCAAAATGATGATGATATCAGCTCCCAGTTGTTTCTCTCTGAATTTCCTCTGGTGTCTTAGACAAATCATTTCCCATAATATTCAATTTCTCTAGCTGTATAATGAAAAAAAGTCCTATTTTTTTCACATCCTTCATACTATTATGGCAAGTTGGAATATTTTTAAACCCTAGGAAATGAAATGTAGTATGAGTTTTGAGTCTGTGAGTAACTGGACTTTTAGAGCAGAAGTTGTTTTGTTCTTAGATCCCCTAAATCTTGTTTGTGGCCTTATATTTTACTCAAACTGGTGGATTTTTAAAGGATCATACAATCATGGCCTTAAAGGTATAAGAAACTTTAGAAGTTTTCTAGTCCAAACCTTTCATCTTACAAGTAATTTACTGTGGTAGGAGCAGTGTCTGCCATGGTTTCTGGTGGGTATTTTTATAAAAGGCAGAGCTGAGGTTTGATTGGTAAAGGGGCCTAGGACTCCAAACAGTGATATGGTTTCCTGATCACTTAAGACATAAAAAGGCAAGTTTACAAGGAGTCAGAGTAAGACTTGATGAATGTCCCATACCCTTCTTACCAAAAGCATCTCCTTATGGAGATGAGGGAGCTGTCTGGGTGAACCAGTGCTGTATTTTTGCAGAGCATTCCTTCCCTTCCACTATTAGTAAACCTCCCTTTTGCTGAAGTGCTGGATGATCTCATTTCATTCTAATTCCTAACCAGAACAGAATCAGACTTGGCCTTGAACAGTTGCCTAAAGTCACCAAGTACCAGAGCCATGGTTCAATCCAGGTCTTCTTCACCTCTCTTCTCTTCTCTCTTCTTTTCTCTCATCTCATCTCTTCTTTTCTCCACTCTTCTCCTCTCCTTTCATTTCCTCTCCCCTCTCCTCTCCTTTTCTCCCACTCTCAATTACCATGGAAGCTTTGATTTGCTTCATTTCTTACCTGGGTCAGTTCACCATTCCTTAAACAACCTGGCCTCCCACTCCCGGGAACTTACCACATTGGTGCTGTGCTTACTATGAAGACTGATGAACACTTACTATGGTTAGCTTAGCCCACTGTAGCTCAGTACTCCCAAGCTCAAAAAATCCACCAGCTTCAGCTTCCTTGGTAGCTGGGATTATAGATACGTGCCACCACACCCAGTTGCTAAAGTAACTATCTTGACCTAAAAGAACAAATCCACCTGTGAAAACTAAATTCTGTTTGCTGTTGCTTCTTCCTTCTAGGGTCAGAGCCAATTCGCAGAACAGGAAAAAGTGGTACTTCAACTCCCACTACTCCAGGCTCCACTGCCATCACTCCTGGTACACCACCCAGCTATTCCTCCCGTACCCCAGGTACTCCTGGTACCCCTAGCTACCCTAGAACCCCACACACACCGGGAACTCCCAAATCTGGCATCCTGGTGCCCACTGAGAAAAAAGTTGCCATTATACGCACTCCTCCAAAGTCTCCAGCCACCCCTAAACAACTACGGCTTATTAACCAACCGCTGCCTGACCTGAAGAACGTAAGGTCTAAAATTGGATCCACAGACAACATCAGATATCAACCTAAAGGTGGACAGGTAAGAACCAAATTAATATGTAATTCTTTACCTTAACCAAACTATTCTTGGGAAATTTGGGTGATATTTCACTATATCATAATTTGAAAGTAGAAAAGAAAAGAAGAGGGAAAAGAAGGGAAGATGAAAAAGAAAGAAAGATGATTATAGATTGAAGATTCTTTTAGCCTTAGAGTTTGAAGCCTGCCTGGAATTGCTAGCCTTGAAATAAATATGAGTATGAAAATTAGATGAATAATTTTTGCTCTTGTTGCTGTTACTGTACAAAAAAGTGTTGAATTTCCCATTGGAATCATTCGTGCAAGCTGGCTGCCTGTAGGAGATTCTTCTTGGCTGAATCTGTTGGAAAAGGCTGAATAATTTTCACTGCTGTGTAGAAAACCTGAATTAAATGCCTAATATCAATTTGAGTTGGTTTTTGTTGGTAGTGGTGTTATTTTAGCTACTTATCTCTCATTCACTTGGCCAGTTCTGATCGTTACTGTTTTTACCTCCCTCCTTTTTCTCCAGCTCTTTCCCACCCCAACAATGAATTTGCTACTTGTACGCTCTAGTATTACATTGTTGTTCTCCAGGTTCTCTGTTTAATTGACTTGGCCTCAACTCTGTAAATACAGCCTTACTATGTTGAGAACAAAAGACTAGCCGTGCACTATTTCTATAGGATAGAGTTCCAGTTTCTATTCCTCCATTGTGGTTTGTGTTTACTTCATCATGATGTTGACAAAGTCATGCCGTTAATCTCTAACCAGAAGGTCTGCAGCTTCTAAGCTGTCAGTATTTTTTCTACTGAGTTTCCAAGGGATTCTAAGTTGGCTTAGTTCTTTCACGTTAGCATATGTACTACATGCTGGGGGAAAAAACTCACTTGGCCAATTTTTCTCCCAGAAGAAGGAATAATGCAAGTGTTACTCAGTGTTATAAAAGTATGTCCTAGTCCTCTGATTCTGACTCTTCCCCATGGATATTACAGATCTGGTGGCAAAAAGAAAGAAGAATATTCAAATGAATGAATGAAGCGCTTATGAAACACTTTGTACTAAGCACTGTGTGTTAAACTCTGAAAAAACAAAAACAAAAGTGAACAGTCCCTACCCTGGAGGAGATTACTTTCTAATGAAGGAGAAAACATATAAAAAAGCATGGCTAAGGGAGCAGTACTTTGGTTTGGGAAGTCACAGGAATGGTGAACAGAGCCATTAGGGAGTTGACTGGTATGCCCTTTGTAATGGCAAAGGAAGTATGAAGTATTTATTTGATTAGGGTTCCCAAAGAAAGCAGTGGAAAATGGGAAAGGGGTGAGAGGGTGAGAGAGAGAGAGAGAGAGAGAGAGAGAGAGAGAGAGAGAGAGAGAGTACATTTATTGCTTACTATGTATGTGCCAGGTGGTGTGCTAAGTGCTGAGAATGTAATACAAGTAAGCAAGACAGTCAGTCCCTCCCCTCAAGGAATTTGCCTTCTAACAGGGAATGGACAACACATAAAGCAGTGCTGAAAGGGGCAAGACAGAAAAGGTATAGGGGCATAGGGAAGAAACTGCCAGGAAGTATCCTAGAGGCCTGAGCCCTAGAAAGATAAGGCAAAAGCTCACCCATCAGAACCAGGAGAAAATGAGAATGAGAGAGATAGGTGAAAAAAATACAGTCCACAAATGTGTAAATATATGAAGTTCTGTGATTTCATCAATGTGAGGAATTGTCCTATTGAAATTTCCCTTCTCCTTTGCAGATCTGCCAAATGATTTGGTAGATAAATCCTAGATAAAGCATATGGAGGTTAAATACCTTGCTAGGGTCCTAGCAAGTGTCAGAGCAGCTAAGCCTTCCTAACTTCAAGCTGAGTACCTGTTTCACTTGCCATGATGTCTCTTAAACATGAGAAAATTCCACAGATATATATAAGTCACTTTTCTTGTCTCCCATGATATTTCTCTTTCTTCCTTACACTCTGCCTCCCAGACCTTCAGCCATGACTTACTGGTGTCCATAATCACTGATTCCTCAGGACCTGAAGAGACTGCTTGTCTTTAAATATACCCTATTGATCTAAGGGTTTGATATTATTCTTTTTTCTAAGGACAGACTCTTTTGCTGTCCCTATATCTTCTTGTGGTCCTGTATCAGAAAATTCAGATGTAAAGATGAATGCAAAGATGCAAAGAAAAAATAGCCTACTAAATATATTATGCATATATATGCACCCTAGGAGTGTTGAAACAGATTTGTGTGTTTTCTTGGGAATGTTCAGGGTGATTATTAAATAATCTTAAAGTTTACTTTGATAATTTAAGGTATCCAAAGTCAATTAGTCTATAAGCAATTATTAAGCACCTACTATGTGCTAAGATCTGTGCAAAGTGCTGGAATACAAAGAAAGCCAAAGACAATCCCTGCCCTTGAGAAACTCACAATCTAATAGGACTGTCATTTATACATCTCTTGGACCCTGTAACTCCAAGCACAGTGCTAGGCATATAGTAAACTCTTGATAAATGAATGAAAGAATGACAGATCGAATGAATAAATGAACATTTAGTAAGTACTTACTAATTGATTGATTTATAATATTATTCTAACTAGGAGTTCATAACCTTGGGTCCTTGAACTTGTTTTTGATAACTGTACTTCAATATAACTGATTTCCTTTGAAATTCTAGGCATTTATTTTGTGTATTTAAAAACATTACTTTTAAATGGAGTCCATAACATAAAAAGAAGTTAAGAATCCCTGTTTGTAACTAAGATATGACAAAAAAATTCTTCAAGTAAATTCAGATCAAACTTATTTTCATAAAATAATGAATAGAAAAGAAAATGAGCACTTAAAAATACTATTAAACCAGAATTCACTAGTGTATTTGATTTTAGCATAATCAATTCTGATTTCCACTAGATCAAAACCAGTAAGTATTGAAAATGTCCTAAAATTCTTGCCATCATGACAGTTAGCTCTTTGTCAGTCAAAAGCACATGCTCAAATATTAGAAAATATTCAAATTTCTGATTATTTTTATATTAATGTATAACTAATTTCTGACAGTAGCTTGAGCTCTTTTACATTATTTGATCAAAAGTAAAATTTTAATTTGAGTGACTTTTTGTTAGGAAAGCATCAGTGATTTTAAGTTTTCATCATTCTTTCCAATTCCTGTCATTTTTCTAAGCAGGTTCCATGTTTCTGGAAAGTGTTAAGATTTGGCAGAATCTGTTTTTGCTTATGATCCCAAGATAAGTGTGTGTAATATGCATAAGAAATGTCACGAGAACTAAAAAGATGGTATGATATTTGGGGCACCAATTTCTAGTAGAATTTGACTTGGAAATTTTAAAATAGGTTGTCATTGTTGTTGCTGTTGTTGTTGTTGTTTTTCCAAAATGCTCCTGAAGTGTGTAGATAAAAGAGAATGATGGGGTGTTTCTCTATCATTTTTGTTGGTTATCTTCCAACTTCTATCAGAAATGTACTTTTTTGTTTATTTGATTCCATCTTTTTCTTTGTCTTCTCTGATTGCGAATATTTCAGCATCTGCTCTTTCTAATAAGTTATATGATACCTAACAACACTGCAAAGCATTTTATGCACAGGGACTGAAATGGAACTGTATTAGAGATTATCATAATTTTTAAAAATCTTAGCAAATCTGGTCAAGAAAGATGACAGAAATTATGGTAAAACTATAACTATGCAATCCTAGCATGTCATTTAGAGACAATCTCTCCTTTCATTCAAGGCAAATGTTAACCTGTAATAATGTCTAGTCCCAGCTTCCAACTGACCTGGGGAAAGAAAGAGCCAATCCAAAGCATTAGCATTATAATGAATCTCCATTGACCTAACAGGAGATGTTTGCTCACTGAATTTATCAAGAAACAGATGGCAGAATTTAGCTGTCAGACCCCTTAGACAATTACCTATAAAATTTATATAACTTGTGGAAAAAGAAAAGGAAGAAAGTTGAGGATGTGATATATATTGAGATGGGATGATCCCTTCAAGGGAAAAACATGTTTTATCTCTTAAGTTTTCTAGAAGCTTCCCTGACCATTGGGATTTTAGAGTTGAGGAGAATAAGATGAGGTTCCCTTTCTTGCTATGCTAGCCAGGAGGCATTTGACTTTTGTCCTTACTGGGTACATCATAACTGCCAAGATAAAAGGAAAGACTTCCTTTAGGTATGTGCTCTGATTATCCCATGAATAAAAGTACCTCCCCGAGAGGGGAAGAAGAACAGAATCCAGACTTTCCAATACGCTGGTTATGTTTTCTTGGAATGGTTTTCAGGGGAAAGAGAAATGGAGGAGAATGTTGATGAAAAGCATTGTATATCTTTGATATTCTCAACTTTCATGAAAGCAATGAAGAACCATTATTGTAGAAGTGATATAAAAGAAAGAAAAATATTTTTCATGGTAGTCCATGAACATAACTAAGATAATATTTCCATAGGAGATCAAAGTGTCAGAACAGAGAGAAATAAGGATAGAGGAAAAATATAGAGGGATAGCTAAAAATGTAATTCTAAATCATAATGCAAGCAGGCTTGTGAAGATAAGACATGGAAAGAGCAGTGAGACAAAACCTTTAGTATGCAAGATTAGATTGAAGTATAAATTTTCAACAAAACATATCCTGAAGAATGGGACAATGGCCTTTAGTTCATTTGAGTATTGTTTGTTTAGACAGCCTTCATTAAAATTATACTTTGATATTTCATTTAGGCGTGAGGGTGATTTGAGGTTCTTGAGCCTAAATCAAGGAATATATGTCCTGGCAGGGTCAACCAAGCTGGATAGGTTTCCAGTATGATGGAGGCAGCTAGGAAGCACAGCTGATAGAGTTTAGAAAGACCTGAGTTCAAATCTGGCTTGAGATAATTCTTAGCTGTGTGACTTTAAGGTCACTTAACCTCTGTTTACCTCAGTTTTCTCAACTATAAAATAGGGATAATAGTAGCACCTACCTCACAGCTTTATTGTGAGGATCAAATGAGGTGATATTTA